CTAATGATTGTTTAATGATTTATGTTACAATTGTTTTTAATTGCCCTATACTTGTCTCGTGATGTTTTGTATCGATGTTGTTCACTGATTTGAGTCGCCTGAGGACTGAGAAAAGCGGTATATAAATAAAGTAAATAAATCAAATAAATAAATAAATTCCACACAGCCCTATATCCCAGAATATTAACATGGAAAATCCCACGATATCTGCTTTGAACTGGGTTGTCTGAGTCCACATTCAGATAACGTGGCATTTTCTGCCTTGATATTCTGGGATATAGGACTGTGTGGAAGGGTCCTAGGTCTGATGCAAAGTGGGAATGCTTCAGTCAATTTCTAACTAACCTGTTTCGTTTTGTTCTGAGGTCACTTTCTATGGCTGTCTTGGAATTTTTTATATATATACTTCTTTTATTGCCTTTCTTCCTCTGAGTTCGTTGTGGCATGGAAGCTTCTCTTCATGCTCACTACTTCATGTGGTTATTAATTCTCGTGGTTATTAATTCTGCCCATTAGGTTATTAATTCTCGGTGTTCTAATATTGTGATTTTATATGATCAGATGTGTTTATTTATAATGTTTTTGTATCTTATTTTATTTTATTTATTATATTTTACTGTTGTACCCTTTTGTTGTACATTTGCATTGTTGTACTACTGGGCTTGGCCTCATGTAAGCTGCCCCAAGTCCCCTTGGGGAGATGGTGGTGGGGTATAAATAAAGCTATTATTATGATTATTATTACGTAACAACAACCCTATGAGGTCAGCCAGGGTATAGGGTTGAGGAGCCTTTGGTTCTCCTGAATCAAAGGCTTTCATGGCTGCAATCACTGGGTTGTTGTAGGTTTTTTCGGGCTATATGGCCATGTTCTAGAGGCATTCTCTCCTGACATTTTGCCTGCATCTATTGCAAGTATCCTCAGAGGTAGTGAGGTCTGTTGGAACTAGGTAAAAGGGTTTATATATCTGTGGAATGACCAGGGTGGGACAAAGGACTCTGGTCTGCTGGAGCCAGGTGTGAATGTTTCAACTGACCACCTTGATTAGCATTTGATGGCCTGGCAGTGCTTGGGGCAATCTTTTGTTGAGAGTTGATTAGATGTCCCAGATTGTTTCCTCTGTTGTTTTGCTGTTGTGATTTTAGAGTTTTTTTTAATACAGACCTCACTACCTCTGAGGATGCTTGCCATAGATGCAGGCGAAATATCAGGAGAGAATGCCTCTAGAACATGGCCATATAGCCTGAAAAAACCTACAACAACTCCTGAATCTTGTTCGTAACTTGGGGACTGTCTGTACTTGTGTTTTTATGGGAATGAGATACAAAGCTGAATATTTTGTTCAAGAAGAATTCCCAAAATGAAGGGGCAGAAGTAGGCACAGAGGGGGGGGGGGACCAAGCAAACCAAGGCTGCCACTGGAAAATAGAGGTATGATATATGAAAGAGTTGTTTGGAGACTTAGTGGTCTGCAGATTCCATTCCTTGAAGCTCAAGCTTTACGGCATTCTGTCTCCTAGGAGCAGACAATGTCAGGAAGTTTTGCACAGGAAATTCTGGAAGAATGACTCTGCATTACAACAATAACAATGAGTTGGATTCTCGGAGGTGTAGATCAGGAGAAAACCATTATATTAAATTTCAATATGAGGATGTGGTGGCCTTTTGCCATATTAAATACTAAAATATGCTTGTAGTCTGGGAAATCTTATTCTAACACTGAGCAGGAAGACAGGGAAATGAATACCTGGTCTTAACATATATTGGCATATGGAAGCAAATAGATTCTGAAGTATTACCATCATTGTATAGCACTTTAGAATGGTAAATGGTCACCACACAGAGACATGGTCATAAATTCTCCAATGTGCAAGATTCTCCAATGTATTCTGACTTCAAAGGAGAGCTGTCCCTTCCTGAGACAAATCACTTGCAAAGCTTTGAAAGACAAAAAATAGATGATGGATAATAACTCCCAGAAGCCTCTTTGGCCATGCAGACTAGGGGAATGTGGTCCCAAATTAATTCTTCTAAGTTCTGATAAGATTAACAAGTGTCCTGGAAACCAGTGGTTCTCAACCTTGCTACTGCCGTGACCCCTTAATGCAGTTCCTTATGTTGTGGTGACCCCCAACCATAATATTGTTTTCGTTGCTACTTGATACCTGTCATTTTACTACTGTTATAAATCATAATGTAAATATCCGATATGCAGGATGGATTTTCATTCCCTGGATTAAATTGAGCACAAATACCCAATACGCCCAAATTGGGGGGGGGGGGGGGGGGGGGGGGAGGCATGATTTTGTAATTTGGGAGTTGTAGTTGCTGGGATTTATAGTTCACTTATAATCAAAGAGCATTCTGAACTCCACCAGTGATGGATTTAAATCAAACTTGGCAGACAGAACTCCCATGATGATTAGAAAACACTGGAAGGGTTTTGTGGCCATTGACCTTGAGTTTGGGAGTTGTAGTCACCTATATTCAGAGGAGTGCTGTGGATTCATGCAGTGATGGATCTGGACCAAACTTGGCACGAATACTCAATATGCCCAAATGTGAACACTGGTGGAGTCTGGGGAAAACAGACCTTGACATTTGGGAGTTGTAGTTATTGGGATTTATAGTTCACCTGCAATCAAAGAGCATTCTGTACTCGACCAACAATAAAATTGGGTCAAACTTCCCACAAAGAATCTCAATGACCAACAGAAAATACTATGTTTTCTTATGGTCTTTGGCGACCCCTTTGACACCCCCTCATGACCCCCGCAGGGGTCCCGACCCCCAGGTTGAGAAACACTGATTTAGATTATTTATTTATTTATTTGCAGTATACATACCCTGCCCTTCTCACTCAAGGGGACTCAGAGTAACTTACAGAGTACACACATATGGCAAACATTCAGTGCCGACTATACACGTAACAAGGACAGACAAACACAAACAGAATCACAGAATCATAGAATCATGATTGGAAGAGACCTCATGGGCCATCCAGTCCAACCCCCTGCCGAGAAGCAGGAAAATTGCATTCAAAGCACCCCCGACACATGGCCATTTAGCCTCTGTTTAAAAGCTTCCAAAGAAGGAGCTTCCACCACACTCTGGGGCAGAGAGTTCCACTGCTGAATGGCTCTCACGGTCGGGAAGTTCTTCCTAATGTTCAGATGGAATCTCCTTTCTTGTAGTTTGAAGCCATTGTTCCGGATCCTAATCTCCAGGGCAGCAGAAAACAAGTTCGCTCCCTCCTCCCTATGACTTTCTCTCACATATTTCTACATGGCTATCATGTCTCCTCTCAGTCTTTTCTTCGGGCTAAACATGCCCAGCTCTTTATGCCGCTCCTCATAGGGCTTGTTCTCCAGACCCCTGATCATTTTAATCACCCTCCTCTGGAGGGCAACTAAAATGATCAGGGATCTGGAGAACAAGTCCTATGTTTTCCAGACCTCCAGAGAGAGATAAAGGCATTTGTTCTCATCTTATTTCCAGCATCTTGGAGGCTGTGCTTGACTCCGGCCATGGTGTGTGTGTATGTGTGTGTGCTGCCACTCTATCTTCCATGCCAAGGAGCTTTCCTCCAATCGATTGATCGATCAATCGATGAGCTTAAGGGAGCCTTTATTACAGTAGAGTCTCGCTTATCCAACCTTCGCTCATCCAATGTTCTCCATTATCCAATGCAGTCTGCCTGCTACCCAGATCCACAGCTGTTCCAACATTTTTGCTTATCCAACATTCTGCCGACCTGTTTATGTTGGATAAGTGAGACTCTACTGTGCCTTCTCGCTAAAAGCAGTACCTATTTACCTGCTTGCGTTTCTGCTTTTGACCTGCTAAGTGAGTTGGGGCTAATGGTGGGTGTTCACCCTGACCTGGGATCGAACTGCTGACTTTTTAGTTGGCAGGATTTTACTGCAACACAGCGGTTTAGTACGTGTGAAAAATATATTGGAGTCCTCATGGACAACAAGTTAAACATGAGCCAACAATGTGATGTGGCGGCAAAAAAACCCAATGGGATTTTGGCCTGCATCAATAGGAGCATAGTGTCTAGATCTAAGGAAGTAATGCTACCCCTCTATTCTGCTTTGGTTAAACCACATCTGGAATATTGTGTCCAGTTCTGGGCACCACAATTCAAGAGAGATATTGACAAGCTGGAATGTGTCCAGAGGAGGGCAACTAAAATGATCAAAGGTCTGGAGAACAAGCCCTATGAGGAGCGGCTTAAGGAGCTGGGCATGTTTAGCCTGAAGAAGAGAAGGCTGAGAGGAGATATGATAGCGATGTATAAATATGTGAGAGGAAGCCACAGGGAGGAGGGAGCAAGCTTGTTTTCTGCTTCCTTGGAGACTAGGACGCGGAACAATGGCTTCAAACTACAAGAGAGGAGATTCCATCTGAACACTAGGAATAACCTCCTGACTGTGAGATCCGTTCAGCAGTGGAACTCTCTGCCCCAGAGTGTGGTGGAGTCTCCTTCTTTTGGAAGCTTTTAAACAGAGGCTGGATGGCCATCCGTCAGGGGTGATTTGAATGCAATATTCCTGCTTCTTGGCAGGGGGTTGGACTGGGTGGCCCATGAGGTCTCTTCCAACTCTTTGATTCTATGATCCCGACTACAGAGATGACTTAGATATTTGTGCTTTATATGACCTAGTAAATAATTTCTCCAATAGGACAGAAAAACAAAGCAACAACATGGTCTATTTCCAGAGTCTGGAAACACTTTTCTTGCACTACAGTTTTTGCACTACAATTCCCATATGTTCCCAGTAAGTATGGCCAGTGAGATTCTGGGAATTGTATTCCAAAAGGTGTCTTTTCCAAGCTTTGATGCCTTTTCCCACTGCACAATGTCAAGGTAGAAAATAGGAAAGCACTCACTAGGAGACGTAGTTTGCTTCTACCTGAACCTGAGCAAGATGAAAAGTAAGATGTTTTGTTTTGCTTTGTTTTGTCCTGCTCCCATCCCTTATTACTCTCCCAGGTTCAAGGTCTCGCTCCGAGGAATTCTTGCCGCAGATCCTTGATCACCCATCTGACCTCGTGGTTCGCTGGGACCAGCCGGCCACCCTGCGTTGCCGTGCTGCTGGGAACCCAGTGCCCACGATTGAGTGGTATCGCAATGGGGAATATGTGAAAACCAACAAAGATGATGCCACCTCCCAGCGCACTCTCCTGCTAGATGGGTCCCTCTTCTTCCTTCGCCTCAGCCAGAAGAAAGGAAAATCGGATGAAGGGATATACAGCTGCCTGGCCAGAAACCATCTTGGTACAGCTGTGAGTAAGAATGCTTCACTTTATGTAGAAGGTAAGGCTCTGGGGTCATCTTGGCTAATCAAATGTTTGGAAAGTAGCTTCATTTGCACGGGCTGCAAAGGAATAATGAAGATGTCCTGTTTGAGCTTTCTCCCTCATTTGAGTTTTTTAAAGTTCTCTTTCCATCAAATACATGAAAAATGCATGCTAAGGACGCAGCCTGTGTTGGACGGGCTTACACTCCCCCTGAAGACCAAGGTTCGCAGCTTGGGTGTGATCCTGGACTCATCGCTGAGCCTGGAACCCCAGGTTTCGGCGGAGACCAGGGGAGCATTTGCACAGTTAAAACTTGTGCGCCAGCTGCACCCGTACCTTGGGATGTCTGGCTTGGCCACGGTAGTCCACGCTCTGGTTACATCCCATATAGACTACTGCAATGTGCTCTACATGGGGTTGCCCCTGAAGACTGTCCGGAAGCTTCAAATGGTCCAACGGATGGCAGCCAGGTTACTAACAGGGGCGACACTCAGGGAGCATACGACGCCTCTGTTGTGCCAGCTCCACTGGTTGCTGGTGTGCTACCGGGCACAATTCAAAGTGCTGGCTTTAGCCTATAAAGCCCTAAACCAGGGGTCCTCAAACTATGGCCCGGGGGCTGTATACGGCCCTCCAAGGTCATTTACCCAGCCCTTGCTCAGGGTCAACCTAAGTCTGAAACTACTTGAAAGCACACAACAATAACAACAACAACCCTATCTCATCAGCCAAAAGCAGGCACACGCTTTCCACTGAAATACTAATAAGTTCATATTTGTTTAATTTTTCTTCATTTTAATTGTTGTATTGTTTTTAAGTGTTTTTTGCACTACAAATAAGATATGTGCAGTGTGCATAGGAATTCATTCGTGTTTTTTTTCAAATTATAATCAGGCCCTCCAAGAGTTTGAGGGATTGTGACCTGGCCCTCTGTTTAAAAAGTTTGAGGACTCCTGCCCTAAAAAGTTCTGGCCCAACTTACCTGTCTGAATGCATCTCCCCTTATGAACCAGCTAGTAGGCCTGGGTAACAATGGAAAGATTTGTTTCTAAACTCGTTTCGTTTTTAGGGGTCCATCACGTTTCGTTTTTTAAAAGAATTCTGAAATTTTCCTTTAAAAAATTTCAAAATTTACAAAATTTCATATAATTACTAATCGATTCATTAATGGCGGACGCAATTGCACAATATGCTAAAAAAAAACCTCCAAATGGGACAGGGGGGACTTCTGAAGCTCCCCTCTCCCTCTGTTGTTGACTGTTGGTGTGATAAAACAAACAACAACTATAAAACTTGCACCAGACATGCGAAAATAATTACGAAAGAATTACGAAATAATTAAGAAATAATTATGAAATAATAACGAAATAATTACGAAATAAATTGAAAAAATTGTTTCGAATCTAATTTACTCCTCACACTATTCCTGCATGGCTCAATATTGGATCGTAAGCTAATTTAAATACGAATTAATAACGAATTACGAAATTAACGAATGAAACCGCCCAAGCCTACCAGCTAGGACTTTAAGATCGTCTGGGGAGGCCTGGCTCTCACTCCCACCAGCATCACAAAAACATCTGGCGGGGACGAGAGACAGGGCCTTCTCAGTGGTGGTCCCTTGGCTATGGCACACCCTTCCTAGGGACATTACATTGGTCCCCTCCCTTTTAGCATTCCGGAGGAAAGTGAAGACTTGGCTGTTTGAGCAAGCGTTTGACAATGCAGTGTGACAGACATAGTAATATGGAACGATAGGATGATGATTTTGTACAACGTTTTTAATTAAGAGATACTTACGATTTATGTTTTTAATTGATTTTGCTAAGATCTTATATTATATGTTAATGTTTTAAAATGTTTTATGCTGTTGTTGCCATTAAATTTTTGCTTTTGTTAGCCACCCTGAGTTGCTTGCGGGCTGAGAGGGGCGGCATATTTTTTATTTATTTATTTAACTTGTATACCGCTACTCCCAATTTGGCTCGGAGCGGTTTACAGAAGCAGATTAAAACAATACAATTAGCTTTAAAATAACAATATAAATATAGTAAATAAGTAAATAAATAAATAAGACACAGAGATTAACAAATAGAAGGAGAGGAAAATGGACAAATTTGAAGCTTGAGAGTGCTCATTAAGATCATACCTGTGAGACTAGTCTGTATCTTTTGTATTGTTGTTCTGCATCACAAAGACCTTTGCTCTCTTCTGACTTGCCTGGCTCAACTCCCATGCACTCTGTGTCCAGGGGGATGCTGGGATGCAAAATGCCAAGTCCCAGGAGGTGCCCCAAAATGGCACTGTCTCTTCCAGCTTTGAGTCTAGTGTTCCTCTTGTAATGCTGAACAGCACTAATTATTGATACAATTAAAAATCCTTTTTAATATGCAGGCCCAGAGATTCTCCAATTAACACTTCATTAATGATCAGGCTCTGCTCAGTTCTCTTGGCCCTGCATAAATGCCCGTGATGTTGTTTGGCAGCTATAAATATTCATAAAAGAAAAAAAAAGGCTTGGGAAATGTTTCTATTGGCAGTGCTAAATTAAGTACATCATATACTGCATTTCAAGCATTTGCTTGTAAATAGTTTCTGTCCTACCTTGGAAATCTGTTTGCCTTGCCCTTGACCAAATGTGCTGTGAAGCATGCACTTCAGATGGACGAGTCCTAACGGAGGTTTCCTCATTTCTAGACCATTTCTATCTCTCTATTGTTAATTCATGTCAGGTTGACTTTGATTTACAGCAATCTTACCAGTGAGAAACCTCCAAAATCACTCTATGATCAACAGCTCTGATCAGGTCTTTCAAACGTCAAATAATCTATATAAATAAAAATGTAATGTTCGTTTGTGGGATTAACAGAACTCAAAAACCACTGGACGAATTGCTCCCAAATTTGGCCACAAGACATCTACTAACTAAGGAGTGACCATCACTAAAAAAAATGATTTTGTCATTTGGGAGTTGTAGTTGCTGGGATTTATAGTTAACCTAGAATCAAAGAGCATTCTGAACTCTACCAGTGATGGAATTGAACCAAACATGGTACAGTACACAGGACTCCCATGACCAACATGGACATTGTTGGGCATTGACCTTGAGTTTGGGAGTTGTAGTTCTCCTCCATCCAGAGAGCACTGTGGACTCAAACAATGCTAGATCTGGACCAAACCTGGCATGAATATTCCATATGTCCAAATATGAACATAGATGGAGTTGGGGGGGGGGGGGACAGACGTTGTCATTTGGGAGTTGTAGTTACTGGGATTTATAGTTCACCTACAACTAAAGAGCATTCTGAACCCCACCAACGACAGAATTGGGGCAAACTTCCCACACAAAACCCCCCATACTTAAAGCCATCCAGTCCAACTCTCTGCACAAGGGCAAGAAAACGTAATCAAAGCCCGCCTGACAAAGAGCCATCCAGCCATAGATATAGATAGATACTTAGATAGATATGTTTCACACACACACACAAACAAACACACACAGTATCCTAGATTTGAAAGGGACCCCTAAAGAAGGACAATGATATGTTGCATGTTCCAGAGTAGGAAAACCAGACAATCTCCACATCAACACTGGCAAAGAAACAGCAAGAAATACTGTTTACCCACAGGTATAAAGAAATTACATATATTAGAAACCAACACTTTCTCATTACTTTATTTTCCAGATCACTAGACTGGGCCACAGCAAAGCGTGGCAGGGGAGGTGAGGAATCTATATAAATAAAAATATAATGTTCGTTTGTGAGATTAACATAACTCAAAAACCACTGGATAAATTGACACCAAATTTGAACACAATACCTATCAGACCTATGCGTGACAATCACTCATAAAAATACTGAAAAACACAGCAGAAGGGACTTAAAAAGCCAAAAAAGCAAAAGGATACTACACTGCATGTGAAAAAAGACTCACCCGACAAACAAAACGCACAATAGCATATTCACACCGTCTTCCGGACTACAGCTCCCAGCACGCCCTAGACTAGGCCCTTTAGGAGAGGAGGATGATCCAAATGCACTGCTTCCAAAATGTAAGCTTTCTTCTCCTTGGATTTCTTTGAGAACATCCCAATCCCTGCATCTTTCCAATTTCCTATTCCTGGACTGCAACTCCCAGCAATACTTCAGATAGATAGATTAGATAGAGATAGGTAGGTAGGTAGGTAGGTAGGTAGATAGATCGATCGGGGGATTGCTGGGAGTGCCGTCCAAGAATAGGTAGAGAAGGAAGAAAGGAGAGAAAGGGGAAGGGAAAGAAAAGAGGGAAAGGGAGGGAATAAGATGAGAAGGAAGGGAGGGAGGGAGGGAGGGAGGAAGGAAGGAAGGAAGGAAGGAAGGAAGGAAGGAAGGAAGGAAGGAAAAAAAAGGGAAGGAAGGAAAAAGAGAGGGAAGGAAGGAGAGAAAGAAAGAAGGAGAGAAAGAGGAAGGTTGGCCACAGCAATGTGTGACGGGTACAGCTTGTGCATAATAATAATAATACACTATATTTATTTTACATACATAGGCAAACATTCAGTGCCTTTACAATTATAAACAATGGGTCACACAAACACAAACGAAGGCAGAGGTTTCTCCTTTTTCATTTCCAGCTTCTGAAGACGGTGCTTATCACTGGTTCTGGAAAGCGCTTTCCTCCATTTTCAAGCCAAAGAGCCTGTGTTGTCATCTCCTAATTGTGTGGCTAGCAAGATTGCTTGGAGTGTCTCTTTGCCTTTTCCCACTGAAGTGGTACTTACTTATCTACTCACACAGTACATGTTTTCGAACTGTTAGGTTGACAGGAACTGGAGCTGACAAATGGGAGCTCACCCCATTTCACAGATCGAACTGCCGATCTTCAGGTCAGCAATTCAGCAGCACGAGGGTTTAACCCATTGTGCCACCACAGCTCCAGGCTTTGGTTTGCTTGATTGAATCTGTTCCTACTACCTACCTTCTGTCTTACCAAGCATTATTTTTTCTTCTAATGAGTCATATCCTCTCAATATATATG